CACGCGCCAAAAGTGACTCAAAACACGAAAAGTGGGGGAGGGGGCTTTCACTCCGAGACTGAATTCGGAGGTTCAAAATGCGAAGATATGAAAAAAATTGCATTATCTCGGTTTCTAATGTACCAATTTCGATCTTTTTTTTTAATCCGATGTCTCGTGAGCTAGGGAATTCGAATATCGTAATGCCAACTGTCTAATTTGCACATACAAATATACTGTATATTTTACCCTATGGTATTGCATTTTTCAATGACAAAATTTGTTTATGTATATATTTCAACACTGAATATGAATGATTTAGTTATAGTTATTACAATTATTTAAATAATTTTTGTTTAAACAAATTAAAAGAAATAATTTTTATTTGGACATTAATTTTTTTGTTAAATACAAATAAAATTAAGAAAAAATGGTACTTTACAATTATAATTTTTGATAAAACTAAATTGCAAATTGATAAATGTAATCTAATTGTTTAAAAATTAAAAAAGGGTTTTAATTTTAAAAATTTACTGTAGCCGTCCTAATCAACCGATTTCAATTTTTCAAAAACCATTTGAAAGTTTGAGCTGTCTTTTCTATGCGAAGAAATTTTCAAGTATCTAGATGCTTTATTTGAGGCTGTGCAACATTTTGAAAATTCGCACATTTTCTTCAAAAAATTATTTTACGAAAAAATTAGAATGCCCTCGGAGCATTTAAAATATTTTAAAAATAATATTATAAACAACTTGATTATTTTGCCTTTTTTTCATCGATTATTGCTATTTCGCAACATCGGTAATAAATTTTTAACTTACAGTATATTGTGCAAAATTCAATTCTAAAACTTTTTTTCCTCTTCAATATTCTTCGAAAATGCAAAGGTTCCAAGATATAAGTAAAAAACTCAGATAAAACAGGTATTTTTTAAATTTTTTAAACATTAGCAATTTTGAAAATGTTCCGGACCTCGCCTAGATCTAGGGATCTACACTTTTATTATGTGGGTTGTACTGAAGGTAATCCGGAAAAAAATTTGCTTGCCCCCCTCACATCCACCTCAAAACAGGTCCACTCTGGTCTAAGCAGAAAATGTTACAAATAACGTGTATGACGTATTCAAAATTTACTAATAAAATAAATTTAAATTTAAATAATAAAGTATTTGTGGCAGCAACAGTGTATCATTCATCAAATGGCAAGTATGAACAATTTTTAAAAGTCAGAATGAAATTGAAACAAATAAAATAAAAGTTGAATTAATTAGCAAATATTGGAAATATGAATGCATTGATTTGATTATGTTATATAACAATTTTATAAATCACATTTCGTCTGTAAATAAAATTGTTCCATAAAGGCATAAAACTGTATATCAGGAAAATATGATGAATTAATATGAAAATAAAAGCAGCGCAAAATAAATTCGACACTACATGTAAAAAGTTTAAATTGATACGAACTATTGAGGACTGTTCAGATTATAGACGAAAAAGTAATAAAGCGATAATTAAAATTAAAATTAAATTATTAAATTAAAAGAAAATATTCTCAGATGCATAAGAATACATAATATCTGGAAGATGTGGCAAATAGTAAAACAAAAAAGCATAAAATAGATAATGTAGTATATCAAAATAACACTCTTCTGATTTTAGAAGAGAGAATTTTAATTTTATCTGTGTAAGTAGTATTGAGGAAAATATGACTAGTACGGTCGATATACAATAAGTTTGAATAATGGAAAGTTCCTTTTGGTTTAAAAAAGAAAAATGCTGCAGATCATATTTCAAGAAATAACTTTTTACAACTAATATTTGTTAGTACACTCACAAAAATACCAAAAGACTTAAAAACAAGTGTGATATATGTTCCAAAAGTCCAGTTGGTAGAGGTTCGGCTTGTGTCAAATCTTCATAACCCGGAAATAACTACACAGGCCTACTTTAAATGATGAGTACAGTCACAGGTTAATTTGCTGACAAAGTATTTTATCAGGAAAAAAAGTTATTAACATTTGAATTGCGAAAATTCGCTTTTTTAGTAGTTTTCTTTAAATAATTCAGCATTACAAGTACTGCAAAATAAAATAATTCTCGTTATACTTACAATAATTAGTTATAATCGTTATTCGCCAATAAGTGATAAGTAAAAACATTTACAAAACTAACCAAAAATTAAGTACTTATTTATCTTAAAACTTACTTGTTAAAAGTGTTGTATGAGGTACGCTGAACATATAATATAGGTACAGAGTTAAGTCTATTAAGGCATTTATACAATTATTTGACTGGCGAAATAAAATGCTTTCTAAAGGTAAAAGTATTTGTTAAATATACTGGAGTTATGTGTAAGATTTATTAAATGAGACTGTTTTTGTCTGAATATAGTATATAACTATTGTAAATAGCTTTTACTAAATAAATAAATATTTTTATATTACCAATTAACTCTAAGTTCTTAATAATGTTATAGTTTGTTTTCTTAATTGAGATTATAAATAAATACTCTAAATTAACTTACAGTGCCTACAACCATTTCAAATATTAGTTGTCAATATGTAGATGTTAACCAAATAATTTCTTTTTTCCGTAATGGAGACTAACATTTAAAACTTTCCATTGGGAATTTATTTCTAAGTGAACTGCTATCTAAAATTTGTCAGTATAACAAGCAAAAGGCTATAGTGTACTATACAGTATGTTTATTATTTTTAAATAAAAAATATTTAATTGATTCCGAATGCTTCGATGTTGATTGACTTCAAATTATACCTTAGGCATATATTCGATATTAAAAAAAAATAAAAAACGTCCTTCCGGCGTTTGTTGTAAAAACAATATTTCTCGGAGTGATTTCAGATCGAAAATTATAGCTGGAACACCCTGTTATTACGGCTTAATAACAAAGCAAGGTATTCGCAAAATCCCCGCGAGGATCAATTATCTCTTAGTATCCAATCTGTATCTGTAACTGCAAACTGCACCGTCCAATCGTCGTAAAACTCTCTGATATGATGAACCACGGTTCAGTCTCTGCTCTAGTAAAAGGCTCTAAAAATAGCTTCTCTACAACGCCGTGCCCGACGAGGTACCTACCATTCATACACGTCACACCGAATTCATAGGTAGGTAAGCCGGTGACGAGTCCTGGGTAACACTTGAAAGCAGTGGTACTCTTGAAAGTGGGTACTTAGGTATCCTTCTATCAGGAGAACATGAGTCAGGTGGAGGCGTGATTGACACACCTGCACAGGTGGACTCGAAACCAGGTACTACAGTGTTGTCATATTTACAGAATTTCGCAACCTCTAAGTACTTATCCTACCATTTTTCACAATATTTTATAGGTATTTCAAACTTCTATGTTATAATAATACAAGTATTATGGTCATGTTATATTAATAAACACTGTATTTCGTAAAATATAGACCTATACAATGTTTTCATAAAATATTCTTTAGTTTCGTTTTGGGTTCTAAATCCTGCTAGTAAGTATGGCAACACCGTATGACTACTGGTACCTTCTCATTATTAAATCTATCTTGTAGTACTTCGCTGGATGAGATCGTATATTTAAAACGTTTTATTTTATAATCGTTCTGGTTCTCTACAGGTGATACACGTATAAGATTTTGTTATCTGTTATAGCGTTTTAAAGACATATTATCTAAATATTTGCTTTCTTATAAATAAATACGAATTGCACTACAAGTAACGTACAGCAACATACGATTATGAATTGTGTATGATTATTTTAATCAAAGTATATTCTTGTATGCAAATATTTTGAAATATAACTCGAGTTTGGTTTTGGTCATTTTAAGAAAGTGATAATGTACCGTGGTCAGTTAATAATTAAATGATTAGACAGATAAATATCAGTAATATTTGTATCTTTAACTGAATTTGGTAAATAGCATAAATTAATACAATATTTCCAACACTGATCATGTGATCAATGTGACGCAGTATCGTGAACAAGAAATATCTCAAAAATACCATGAAATTGAAGTAACCAGCCATACTAGTTCTATTAATTTCCTCCAAACTGATATTAAATAATAAATAATTAAAAACAAAAATTTGAATTAAAATTTACAGCAGCTATTATTTTATATTTATACTTGCTACAACAATTAGGTACTTTTGTTTTTAATTATTGCCAGTAAGAGAAATATACTGAATTTTACAAAAATACTGCCGCACCATCTATGATGTACAAGATAAATTGAATAAATCTTATTGTTCTTTCTTCAGAAAATTTATGAACACAATTCTCTTTTATCACTTGGTTTCATAATTTTTAAAACTATTAAAACATCTTTAAAACTATTGAAGGAATTATTTTTTATATTGATAATCTCTTCTCTTCAAGAACTCAAGAACACAAGCACAAGTCAAGCAAAGTTAATAAAAGAGAAAACAAATTCAAAATATGCATAGTAAAAAAAGTAATTTACGTGTTTTTGAACACAACAGTTTAATTTGTTATCAAATTGAACCATAGGGGCTGTATTCTTCACAGAAAAGAATCACAGTTTTTGATCAGCTACTCAAGCATCACTGAAATTTGTTACAGTGCTGTTCTTTCACGTAAAATAGGACAAATGGACCAAAAAGTGAAGCGAAAAAAGGCATTCTTCTTCTAAAGGTTCCTTTGCTAACTCTACTTCTAACTATCAGACTTGAAATCTGTATGCTCAGTGATTCTTAAGTAACTGATCATAACTGTGTTTCATTTACAATCTCTTAAGGATAACAGTTTTCCTAGAAATCAAGATAGAAAAAACTGTTACTTTTTGCTTTCTCTGTTTGTCTTCACACGAGAAATCTCTGAAATTGTTTAATCAACGGCCAATTTGGAAAAATGACAACCAGAAAGTTCTTATTCAATTTACCGTGTACAAACAAAGCGATGGTGTCAGTTCTTTGACCAACGGTACCTAATGGTACGCAATGGTACGTCCAAGTACCATGGAGTATTAGGAGTGCATAAAGGCTCGAATGTGTTTGCAGAGCGGGTACCTCGGCGGCCTCCGGTCGAGCTTGGGAGGGTGGACGCAGAAAGTCAAGTCTTGGTACTGGGGCAGACCTCTTGTAAGTTTTAGGCCCTCGGCACCACTCCGCATGCGGCCTTCTAGATTGGGCACCATTACATTTTACTCTGTCTTGTGACTGATGCTCACCGTTCTTACTCTTACAGTCCGTACAGGTCGAGCAGTCCTTTATCCGTATATACAATGATTAAATAAACAATATTTACGGTTAACGCTTTTCCAAGTGTCTATTTTTTAGTCAACCAACTAACCAATAATAACTGGTTTATAGGTACAGGATTCCTTTACCTAAATTTTCTTTTTTGAAAATAACTATTTTGAAACGTTTATTATTGCTATACAGGGTTTAAATTGTTTAAGGAATATAATTAACTGTTAGTTGTACATGGTGGTTTAAATTACAAATAAGTTGCGCAATAATTTGGTGACACTTTTCTTGGAGTCAGATATTGAGAAATTTCAACAAGTAAAGATAATTTTATTACGTCAGATATATATTCCACTATTTTTAAGATAAAACTATGTTTTTCATGAATGCTATAAAAATGTGTCACATGGTTACACAGGATGTTCTACAAGCTCTATGACAAACTTTCGCAGATGGTAGCTGGGTTAATTTTAAACATTTTCTTCTCATATGAGCATAGCTCCGATTCGTTTTTGTTTAGAAGTTACAAATATTTTTAAAAAATATAAGATATCACTAAAAAAGTTTAAAAATAATTAAATTCGACACCCTGTATTTCGGTTACAAAGCGATTTACTACTATGTATGTTCACATGAACTTTTTCCTTTGTCAACTATTAAAATTAGTACGTTTTAAAAGGAATACCCTGTATTTTAGGAGCTATTGAAATATCGCAGATTTGATTGCAGGAAAAGTTTCCGCAAAATATTATGCAACTTTTTGTAATTGGAGCTCACTTGAATCTTTAAAAAATCGATAATTTTTCGACAAAATTACAAGAGATCTTTGTTGTTTAGAATGAATCAGGTTATGAAATGAATTTTTAAAAGGTAAGATATTAATAAGAAAAAAGTTATGTATGAAAGAAGTCGTAGGGATGGCTTTTTCTACCTCTTACAACCATAGAGGAAAATAAACAAATTGTTTACTGAGTGCCTTCTCGATAGCACAAAACGTCTACCTACTTAATTTCATTTCTGCCACTTTTCAGAAAAAAATAAAAAAATATTTTGTATCTTCATAGGGGATCTTCAAATGAGATTTTTTTTATATAAATACCCACCTTATTTTTCAACAGGAAATCATCCCCTGAATTTTTTCGTACTTATTTATTTACACGCTGTATATAAAAATGATATACAAAAATTATCATATAGACCGGTTTGCTTTCAGCCCATTCTATTATTTTAAAGGCTGGTTTCCATTTAGGGTACTGTGCCCCGATCATGTTCCGTTCATGTTGTGTTGTCTAGAAATCTCAAACTTATATTTCTCTATATAATAACATGGAAAACATCAATTCACTTGAAGTGAATATGAAAATTGATGTCTTCCATGGTATTATATGGAGAAATATAAGTTTGAGATTCTAGACGACACAACATGAACGGAACATGATCGGAGCACAGGAAAAAATTATTTGAAAACTTGAGACTTTAAAAAAGGTGCTGAAACCTACACAATTTTATCATTATTGCTTTTAAAAGCAAATTTACTTAATCAAAAGAAGCACATATACGAGTATCATCATATTGTGTAGGTACCACATTATTTTAATTACAGTGATATTTCTAGAAATTTTGATATCGTGTATAAGAAGTTTAGTTTCCAAACCATATTTATTTTCTCAGTTAAACCTCAAACTTGTTTTCATTTCTATACATTGAAAATAATTTGGAGGTACATAATTAAAAAATTGTTAATTTTATTTTAGTACCTACATCATTCAACATCACTGCACACATTACTTGACAAGAAAAATGGTTCAATTAACCGTGGTTTTTATTATCCCGATAAAAAATGGGATTGGACGAATAATTTATACCGTTCTCAGATTTTATCTCGTAAGTAGCCCATTAAATTACAAATTAACAAGGACGGGTAGCGAGAAACATGGGTTTTATTTCTTCATGTACAGGGAGGACGTAACAAGGCGCGTGGTATAAAATGATATTCATTTTGTTTTAGTTATGTCTTAAGACTTTCTCCTCCAAATACACTTACATGTTTCTTTGGTACATTCAGAAAAAAAATCTTTGATCACATATAGGTACCTATAGAAATTTACTACAGTTTTAATTCTTCTTCTTCCTAGTGGTTGGTCCCAATAAGTCCCATAACACTGCGGCCTAATTAGGCCTATAGTGCGTCCCACTATTAGTCCTATTCAGCAAGTAGTTTTGTCCTTTTGACAAAGTCCAAAAGCTTCCTTGCTGACACTTCTCTCAGTTCCTTGGGTTCCAAATAAGGTCTCCCCAGGAGCGTCATTCTGCTACGTGTAAATCTCGGGCACTCGCCCAGGATATGCAGAGAAGTTTCATCCACCCTCGGCAGACCGGACTGTATACAAGCTTTAGCTTATGTAGATGTTTCCTAAAGTGACAGTGTCCCGTTATCCGTTTCAGTCCATTTTCCCAGAGCTCGCCTGGCCACACTGGGAGATGTGCCACAGAAGGGCTCCGGGCCAATGAACTATGTCTCGGATCCCTTCCTAGCAAGTTCATCTGATTTCTCGTTTCCACAAATGCCTTTGTGCCCTGGCACCCAACACAGTCTAACTGTATTATTGGTGGCCAGTTTAGTCAGCATTTGTAAACAATCCCACACCAGTTTTGAACTTATCTTGTGTGCGCCTAAAGCTTTAATTGCAGCTTGACTATCAGAGAATATATATTTTACGTTTATAACCTCTACGTACATTATCTGCCAGACACGCCATTATCGCGAAACTTTCTGCTTGGAATACGGTAGGGATCTCCCCCAGACTGTAGCTTGCACTCCATCTGGGTTTGAGTCCATATATTCCATCTGGTCATTTTGGAGCCATCTGTAAACCATACTAGGCTCCACCTTTCCAGGGTATTAAACCTTTCCTCCCTTTTGCTTTGATCCTCTATTCGAGTCTCAAATGGCTTGTGGAAGTAAACCTTGGAACCATCTACATACCTACCAAACTATTTACAAAAGTAAATGTCCTGAAAATGATTGAATGGTTTATAAGAAAATTTACATATTTTCATGTTACTGATTTCATTAAAATAATACAAAAGACAACAACGGATTCTAAATACACTTTTATAATTTTTTGTTGTTATTTCTTATTGTACTTGGATTTAAACCCTGTGGAATAGGGTGGATATGGAAGAGAATATATATTAAAATTAATGGCAAATTCCAAATAAAGGAGGAGAAACAAAACTCAATCGGTTTTAGCCCAAACAGATCCACCCCCCACTGTCCACTACCCTACATACCCCCCAAATAACCGACCCACATCTTACTACTATGACAAGTAGTAAGGGCAGAAAACTGACTTTTTACACATCTCTAGAGCCAGACAAGCAATATTCACTTATTTTGTGCTAAACGGATGCAACCCACCTTCCCCTACCCGTGTTCAACTATTATGACAAGCACTGATCGCAAAAATGACCCTCTACGATAGGCATCGTGAAAATTCCCCACAGTATAACAGTGACGCAAATTCTAACTAGTTATTAGACTCATCCGTTTGCTCTGAAAGTCTTCTGAAGAAAATGAAGAAACTTCAGAGAAAGATGATGAGTAAAAATCCTCTTTGTGAGAGGCAAGTGGACTCACGTTAAAAAAGCATCCCCAAAAGAAGCACGTTCACATCGTTGTTCCTGAGTAAAGCCAAGAGTAGAACTGAACTGAAAGTCAACAAAAAGGTTTTAGCATTTATAAGAGATTTACTCTAATGAAAGAAATGCCGTTGAGAAAATAGCAAAAGCCCAAAGGCGGTGAACCAAACTAGACGAGTTTAATTTCCGAGCTTCTATTTGCGTTTGTCTGACGGAGCTTCAGCTTTGTTTTGGCAGCTAGAGCTTCCGTTAGAGTTTGAGCTTCCATATCTGAGCCTCAGTTTGCTGAGCTTCAGCTTGAGTTTATCTGATTGAACTTCAGTTTGAGTTTTGGCAACCAGAACTTCTGTTTGAGATTTCACGTCATTGCTTCAGTTAGAGTTTCCCCGTCCGATGTTAAGATTTAGTTTGCCTGTCATAGGTTCAGTTTGAGTTTCCCTGGGCATGGTGTTTGTGTTCATCTCAGTTTGAGTTTGAGTCTTCCGGCATTCCTACCTATTACAATAGTTGGACGGGATTGAAATTATCTTTATCTCATTTGACTGAAAATCAATGGAATATTGCTTGTCTGGCCCTAGGAATGTGTAAAAAGACATTTTTCTGCCATTGCTACTTGTTATAGTAGTTGAATTTGGGTCAGTTATTGGGGGGTATGTCTGGATCCAAGCTATAAAAATCATGCATTTCTTTTATTTTTCCAATTGGGTCGCAAACCGCGCTTAATGACCCTCTCCTTTCATTATACGACTTAATATGAAAAGAAAGAATTTTTGCTTCATATTTATATAACAATATAATTTAATAATACCATATCTGTTTATTAAGAAACAAAGGAGCAAGAGAAAGGAGGAATACCAATTAATCTTATAAAAATATTAAAGCGAAATGACCACTTATATCTTACCTCAACATCCACAATCCTGTCTGCCAAGCTTTTTGGTTAACCAGTTGACTAAAAAACAATCTGGAATCGCAACACAAAAATTGCTAATAACTTACTGGACAGTGAGAGATAAAGGCTGCTCGACATAAAACTGTTTCATTAAGCTTTTCGGTTTAATAGCTTTGTGGGCAATAATAAATTACAATTAAAACCAAATACTGTCATACACCAACAATTAATCCTTCTTATACGTATTCTTCACGCTTCAAGTAATTTGTTTCAAGACAACACCAGCGTATTGTAATTCGTATCACTGTAATAAATTTCTGAAACTTCTTGTACACTTAAGTGCGTAGGCAGGCGTCTC